GAGGAGATTCCAAAAGCCGAGCGCGAATGTACTTATCAGATTAGTGATGAATGGAAAAAGGCATTGAATTTGGGCAAGATGCGTGAAAATGGCCAGGCTCGCACTACTGTTCCCGAAGTTGTTCAGAGGCAGTTGGACATGCTTCTTGCGCGAAGCACTATGGGTATCTCAAGCATTATGTCACGAAAGGAAGAGGTCCTGATTGAGCAAATTGCTCACACTGCTAGCTCGATGTGTGTCGAATACAACAAGGGACTGTCTCAGGCGCGGTGTCGGATAGAGTTGTCCTCTTGAACATTGTTTGCAACCAGGGCGGGCATACACATTCATTTTCCCGAATGGGGGTCTGGCGGTAGAGCCTTGTTCGTGACCCGTTGTTTCTAAGTTCGCAACCGTCCGCAACCGTTCGCGGTAGAGCGCTAAGGCGCTGCCATTGGGGGAAGCTTTTGCAAGTGACTATTCATGGATGTGTCACGAGTCAGTTTGCGCCGCTATTCCATTGTGATTTGCATGAAAAAGACGTGTCGCGCAAGCAACGTGATGCATCTCGCTGCACAGGCGCAGCGTTTGGTGAGATCTGCAGATGGCTGTGCAGTTCCATTGGGATTAGCGTTTGGAGAGTCGTGTTTTTGGGGTGTTGGCTGTGGCCGTGCCATTGGGATTTGCGTTTCCGGGTGTGGCATCGAAGCTCTGTTTTCGTGACAAGTCTCGGCTGAAATGCCGATTTTGGTGGATGGGAGTATGCTCAGAACGGGTCGAAATCATTCCAAACGTGTGGTGTGGTGCAAATTTTGTTGAAGCTCACATGAGATGATATTGTCACTTTTCGTGGCAGGCGCAGTACTTTGTGCGGCTTTTGATGGTGGAAGTCCCCAGCACATGCTGTGGAGTTGTCCACTTACTGAGCACCAAAAGGCATCTTGATAAAGCGTAGATGTTTGTAGCTGTAATTAGATGGTATTATTGGGTATAGAGTTGTCCCTGTGCTGCAGGAGGAAGAGAATCTGACTGATTTCAAATTCCGTCTTCAGCAACAGGTGTGTCAGGAGGCGATGCCAGCCACAGCCGCTTTGCGTGCCTTGCCCAAGTCCAGAACCATGAAGAGAGCTTGTGAACAAGTTCCCTTGAGTTGGGCAAGGGCGTTCCTGCAGCGCTTTGGATGGAGCAGAACGAAGTTGAATACAAAGGGGATTTACCTCGAGATGAACCACCCGTTGATGATTCAAGCAAGGGCCAAATTCCATCAGAAACTAGCATCTGGGATTGACGCCCGCCTTGTCCTGAACATCGACCAGGTTTGGAGAGCAGGGCATGCAGGCACAAAGTATTGCTTGCGAAAGGACAGAGCAGCTGTAGGAAGAAGAGCCAACAAGGGGGGGCAAGAAAGCAGAGTGCATCAGCATGTGTCAGAAGCCCGAAAGTCCATTACCATTATGACCAGTTCCTGGGGCGACATGACGCCTGGGCCAATAGCTTTGCACCTTCCGCAAGGTTTGGTGGCCGAATCAAGTGTGCGTGAGTTCAACTGCACATATCGAGGAAGGGCACTTGCACTATACTCGGAAGGCAATTCTCACTTCATGACCGGCCAAACGTTCAATGAACTTCTTGCAGAGCTGTACCCTGATGCATTCAGAATGCAAAGAGCCCGACACAAACTGGATGGTTCGGTTCGGGGCATGATCCTAGCAGACGCGTGGCTAGGATACCACGCTACCAGCTCTGGAGAAGATCTTGCACGCCAAGCATTTACTCAGCAGCACAACGTAGAAATGCCGCAGCGCCAGCCAGGAGTCTTGAAGGAAATTATTGAGTTGTCCACTTCCTGTATAAGTTCCAACGCTGGTCTGCTCCTTTTTGTTTCCTTAAAAAGAGGTTTCTCACAACTTTCTCCAAGAACAAAAACAATCAAACACATACAGTAAATATGTGCACAACTCTATCCAAAACTCTCTCACAACTTTCTCCTTTTCAATTTATTTAATCTATTGCATATATGTGCACTATGGTGCATATATATTAAATTATATTGAATTATCTTTATACACATTATATGTGCGTGCTTTTGTGTTTGTGGACAACTCTATACTCTATATCAAATGGTCACCTGTGCGCAGGTGGCTGGAGTGCGAACGGCCAACCGGTCGATCAACTCCATCACGTCTACAGAAGACTTTTAGCCAGCAGTGATGCGAAGTGGTTGGGGTATGAACACGATTTGAGAGGCCGGAAGAACTTTGAAGGCCTGACGCTACTCCCAAACGGACAAGCAAAGAAAAAAGTTAACTTTGTCGATGTGTTGCACTCCTCTGTGGACGCTTGGGAGAAAGTCCCGCTTGTGTATTTCAAGTCGGCCTGGACGGTTTGTGGCTATGTCAATGCTGAAAATGCTGAAGCATTGCAAGCTGCAGCAACTGCGGCTGCAGAGGAACTGGATCCATCGGGCTTTGGTAGGCTGCTGGGCGTGCAGCTAGATGCTCTTCCACCTACCCCTCAGACAGAGAAGTGGACGTGGTGTGTGGAACGTCCAACAGGTTGGGAAAGCATTCCAGCTGAAATCAGCATTGCCATTCAGAAGAGGGTTGCGCAGTTCACCAGAACACGGGCGGACCTACTGGAGCCTCAATGTAGAAGTTGCAGAGTATAGAGTTGTCCCCGTAGCACTGTATTTATAGTTTTGGGACAGGGGACAGGTGGACAACTCTATATTATATGTGAAATCTGTCCGTTTTTGCTTTTGCATGGGTTTGCAATCAAGCCTAGATCCCGAGTACCTCTTTAACCCACTATATACCCAAACTACTGTACAAGACAGTATGTATGCGCATGTGTGCTGGTGTGCTTGCCGGCTCCTTCCCCACTGATTGAAATGAACAACTCTTCTGAGGCTTCATTGGGTGAACCTCCTGCAGCAAAGCAATTGCAGAGTCTCAAGGAGCATTTTGAAAAGCCAATGTTCATTGTGTTCTTGCGGGGCAAGCAGAAGGTAGCGCCCGATCGATGGGTGAACAGGTACTGCAAGATTGTTGAGAAGGACTTGCACATTGCCAACAAGAAGGTCAAGGTCAATGTGCTCAAACTGCAGTTTGAAGCACCCAATGATCTTCGCGCCCCGGGCGGCGGCCAGTTCACCATTGAGGGTGACAGCTTTGGAAAAACACGTGTTTGCTGCTTGAGCCAGCTCAACAAGCCGAAGGAGGCCAGCATGATCCCCATTGTGCCTTACTCAGATGATGAATCTTTGGTCTCGGAGAACGCGAGCGACGAGGACGAGGAGCAGGAAGCAAACCAAATGCAACCTCCAGATGGTGTTGAGATGCAACATCACGAGGATCCATGCTCGGAAGGAGAGGTGTCAGAAGCAGAGGAATCAGACCTTGGTGATGAGGATGAAGGGTGGGAGAGGGGGCCGACATGTCCAGTGGCTTCCAAAGAGAAAAAATTCCATGTCTCCGATGAATACATGCTGCTACAGCAGGAGGGATTGATGGATCTATTACCCAACCTTCACAATGCTGGCCTTGGCCGTCATACTGCAGGCGCATGGTCCGCGCATTATCCGGATGAAACTGGTGGACTGAACTATGTCTCCAGGAGATAGAGTTGTGCACTTGTGAGTCTTTTTTATTGGTTTCTTTGCGCAAGATCGGGATAGAGTTATGCACTTTGGATGCTCTTGTTTCGTTTACTGTAACAAGATCTAAATAGAGTTGCGCGCTTGTCATCAGTCCGTGAGCACCCCTCGGCCCCCAACCTGTTCGGCTCGACCGGTGTTACCTCCAACAGATGATCCATCGAAACACTCCGACGTGAAGTGAGCATCTGAGATAGAGTTATCCCTTTGTGATGTTTTTGCTATTTGGATAGTGCTTAGCGCCAGCCATACTAGAATTGACTTTGCAGGAAGTTTGGAGAGATCCGCTCTCCGCTGAAGGCACTGTTGGAATGCATGGCGTGGCTTGTGAAGCAGC